CGTTCTTTTTCAATTTCAGTGCTTTTTCCGCTCTTTCTTCTACCCCGCTTCAAGTTTCGAAAGCGCTACACAACAAAAAGGGAAGCGGGGGTAAAAACAGAGAAACGAAAAAAACAATGAAATGAAAACGAAAAGGGGCTAGGACCCCAATAGTGGCCATCAGATCGATGGAATTTCCTGCTCTTCTGCACTATTTTTTGCTCTCCTTCAAGAAAAATGCCTGCGAAAATGCTGCAGCGGCCTTCTGGAAACAAATGGAATACCTTTATGCAAGAATAAAACGAAAAGATATGAACGAGAGGAACAACACGCATAATCAGACACACAAAGCAGAACAGCGCTTATTCCTCAATCCCGCTTTGCGCTCGGAGTTCCACTCATCAAAAGGAAAAAGCGGGGTGGAGGAATAGGGCCGGAAATGAGATAAAACCTAGAAGAAAAATCCGTCACAAACGGTCAGAATACTCCAACTGCGCATGCAGCACACTTCCGGCGCAGTTCGAGCACAGTTTCGAGCGCTGTGCTGGAACTGTGCCGCTTTGTGCGGCTCAGTATGAACCCTGCCTCAGAAACCTTGCTTGCTTGCTTTTCTAAGTCAGAGTGAATAGGAACTGAGCTATCAAATGGTGCATGAATCGGGGCTCCAGTCTATAAAATTCGCCGAGTTACGAGCCTACGAAAACACGTCCTCATGAAATTTGCACAAAATGTAAAGATCGCGTACTTTGTTGAAATGCCACCGTGAGTGGTTTTATAAAACGCGGGCGGGGGTAGACATAACATTTGCAATTAGTCATGCAACTACTCACGACGGAATTTCAACAAAGTACGCGATCTTTACATTTTGTGCAAATTTCATGAGGACGTATTTTCGTAGGCTCGTAGCTCGGCAAATTTTATAGACTGGAGCCCGATTCATGCACCATTCGATAGCTCAGTTCCTATTCACTTTGACTTAGAAAAGCAAGCAAGCGAGGTTTCTGAGAGATACGCGAGAAGTGCGGGCAAAGTTACGCACTTTCGTGGTGCAGTTACAGTTACCTCACCGTATCTCTCCAAAAAGACACTGTAATCCTCAAAGACCACGATTTTCGTAAAGAGCGTGTTCGAAAACCTCTATAAGCGAAGTTTCCTTACAATTCAAGAGCATCAACATTTTGACCAAAATCCATCGGCGAGCTTCCAGAGCGTAAAACGAGAAAAAATGAAATAACCCGGATATCTCGGAAAACTTGCTCATAGAGGTTATCCGACCTGCTGATTACGATAATCACATCTGCTTAGCAAGATAGCTTCGTATCTCCACAATTCACCAGCCGTTCTATTCCCTTTGAAAAGAGACCTGCGGCTACTGTTTAGCAGATTATAATCTACAGAAAAAGTGCTATCGAATCATCCTTGCTGGAATGTACTTGGGACAATGCTCGCTGCTTTACACCTTCGCGAAAAGATGTCCTCAGAAAGATTCAAGAATACTGAAATCGAAATATCAAGGACATGCTGTATACCAAAAGATTCGCCTTGATGAGCTGAGTACAGCACCATTTTCGGATTCAGAATATACTTATTCCGGAGGAAGTTATGGCGAGTAGAATTTAAAGGCGCGTGATTTTTGCAGAATTCACCATCTCTTTTCGCGCTTTATAAAGCATGTCTCCGTCTACTTTTCACCGCTGGATTATCTACGGAAACAACTCTTTCCGATTCGCCTTACCGGAATCTTTTAAGTGTGAAAGGGGCTGGCCCACAGCGTTGCAAAGAGGCGTCTGCAGAAAAAAGTGAAGTTTTGCTGGAAGCAGAATATCATAGTCATGCGGTGTGTCACTTTGCTCACATAAGCAACAAGACATGCTGATTACAAAGATTATAACCGTTTTGCTAATCGTAATGTTGTTGTATAGTTATGTTTGTTTGACGGTAAGTGGTCCATGCATATTTACTAAGTTCACGTACTCCTTTCTCTTTTTTCCACTACAAAAAAAGATATGGTTTTCTGCTGGAAACACTCTGCAGAAACTCTTCCATCAAACGCTCTTTATCTTAAACCTTTGCCTACATTATGCGCCGAAATACACACTCTAGAAGACACCACCACAGGATGCAACGGATTCCTACTATGCACTTACCGTGACCGAGCCGATTACAGCAGTTCAATATACGAAAAGATTCGTCTCGGCGAGCTGAATCCAAATCTGCCTTCAAATTTGAAATCCATTGAAAACGAAGGGAGTTATGACGAAAAGACGCAAAGTCGGCGACATCGGCGACATCGGCGAATTCGGCGACATCGGCGAATTCGGCGACATCGGCGACATCGGCGACATCGGCGAATTCGGCGACATCGGCGAATTCGGCGAATTCGCCGAAATGTTTCACATTCCACTGTCACAACTGTACTGGAGTTGGGTTTATTAATTGATTGATACCGCAGTTGTAGCTGCAAGTACGTGGATTTGTGCGGATGGAGTTGCCGCTGCAGTGCTGGAGTTGGGTTTTAATTGATTGATGCAGTTGTAGCTGCAGTTGCAAGTGGGTTTCTGCGTATGGCGTTGCAGCTGCAGTGTTGGAGTTGCATTCATTGCAGAGCTGAATAGTAGCCGAGCTCTGAATTGATTTGATTGTTGCTGCTGTTCTAATGCTAAATGCCTGAATTTATGTAGTAGCGGTGTAACTGCGTAGAGTTTGGTTAAAGTTTGATTAATGCTAGTGTTGCATAGATTCCGTCGTATGGTGGTGCCATCGGAAGGAGTTGACTAATGTTCAAGGTGCTACCATTGTAGTGCTGGAGTTGTATTTATTGGTGTAGATGTTGGTGCATTATATTAGTACCAGTGCGTCACCTCTGCTTCGCAGAGGCTCGCACTGGCCCCACTATCTACGTACCTTACTCATTCTCGTAGAATTGTGGCACTGGAACTTACCGCGCTATGCCGACTACCACGAATAAAATGTAAACAACTACTCATTTAAAAAGCTTTTTCACGTGAGATCGGTGATTTCGCGTGGATAAAACTTTTCACAGGAAGACAAACGCAAATTTGAATAGGTTTTTGAACTTGTCATGGCTTGGTAGTCGCCATAAAGGCAGTAGTAACCGTGAGCTACATCTCTGTGCGAAAATCTTCTCAAACGCTTAGCTAGAACCTTGGCAAATTGACCATTTACACAACATTCGTTTTGGCGCCGTTTTCGTTATGTAGTAAACTTTCGATCACTTTTCTGGCTAAACTCCATCGTTTGCACATTTGCTAACCAAATGCACCCACGACTTTGCAAAAAGTGGTGATACGGACCCAATTTTGCGGGACAGAAGCCAGGTGGATCCGTTTGGCGCGCAATTTTTAAGGGATTCACTCAACGAATCTACTCGTGCTTTTGCATGTTAGACTTCCAGGAAGGGAGCATGCACTGTGCAAAATTTGGGCTTAGAACGCTGGCTGAAACACGCTCTACGAATTTCGTAACAGACGGACACACACACACACACACACACAAAAACACGTAAACAATCCTTAGCCGTTATTATAAGGTCTTGAAACTTGTGTGTGAATCAGTTCTAATGGTGCCGCGCTTGTGGTGGTGGTGCAATTGTAGTGTTGGGTAGCGTAGAGTTTGGTTTATGGTCCTACACTTGTAGCGGAGTTGCGTTATAACTCCGATTGGTGCTGGAACTGTGTGGATTGTTGCGGATGGTGTTGCAGTTGCAGTGCTGGAGTCGTACTTGTTGTGGACGTTGGTGCACCAGTGCATACTTTTCGTATTAGTTGAAAGTGCTGCTGTTGTAGTGCTGGAGTTGTATTTATCGATGCGGACGCTGTTGCAGAAATAGCGGGTCCATGTGTTGCAGTTGTAGTGCTGGACTTGCTTGGATTTGGGCGGATGATGTTGCAATCGTAGTGCTGAGTAGCGTAGAGATTTGTGCAGTTGTAGCAAAACTGCGCCGATTACTTGGGTGATGGAGTTGTATGGATTAGTGGGAATGGTGTTGCAGTTATCTACAATGTGGGTTGCATAGAAGTGGGATGATGGTGCTGCGAAAGTAGCGCTGAGGCTGATGTGGGAAGAGTAGCGGTTGTGGTGTTGAAGGATGGTGTAGATTGATGCTGATTATGGCAGATGCGGTGCAGGAGTTGTGTGAATTGTTGCGTTGTGATATTCATCATCGTGCCAAAATGTACTTGTTGTGGACGTGTGCAGATAACTGTTATACAGAAGTGCGGAAAATTTTCCAGGTAGACAATGGCATGGGTTTTGATGCAATATTGAGAGAAATCAATCTAGTGGTAGAATCTACCCCTATAATTCTGTGCTTTTTGAATTATCAGCTTTAAAAATTTTTTAGTGGAAGGATCTACCCCTATAGTTCTGTGCTTTTTGAATTATTAGCTTTGAAAAATTTTTAGTGAAAGGATCTACCCCTATAATTCTGTGCTTTTTGAATTATCAGCTTTGAAAAATCACATAAAGTATAACTTTCTGACGCTTATACCGGTTAAACTTTTTCATTAAAAGAATACGAGTAATTGGAACAGTTTCCTGTCAAGAGCTGTTCTGGGGAATATGCATCCACATATTGAGGGCAAAATGTGCAGGAGTGCACCCAGCTTAGCCTTCATGTCGAATAGTCATTAGTGTATAACGAGAATTCCAGAGTTCTTCAGGTTAATAGGCGAACGTAAAAATTTACAAAGAATTAACTTAGTAGTTGTTTGAATAATAAATAAGGTCTGGAACTCGTGCTGAATTATTGAATTGCTCCACCCCCTCTGCTGCAAAAGTAGTAAACCTTGTTGTTATTAGACGCACTTAGGGCCTCTAGAAACTAATATAGTGGTGCGGGTACGGATCACCTACAAGCTCCCTTCAAGCCTAGCTCTGAAAGGATACTTCTTCTTCAAGCGCGAGTTTTACACATGCTTGTTCGAGTGATCCGTTACAAAGCCGATAGCCTTGATGAATCTTTGACATCGCTCATGTGATTTTGTATCTTGTCGGCAGTAATGAGAAGTGTAGGGGAATCCGAAAATTCATATGTAGGACACAGAACAGACACTATCACTGAAACGTCAACGGTCTCTCCAGAGAGAGTAAACCGACTAGCCAATCGATTACCACCTGAACCGGTTGACAATAAAGCAAACGAAATGTGGCGTTTCCGTCCATTTGCACCAGGAAAACAGGTTTGTGACAGTCTACTGGAATACCTCAAGCCTTGTGTATATAGTGGTTTTGTACAAGTTTGCTCAACAAATCGATGTACTTCCGAAGCTCTGAAAAGTGCAACAACTGAACGTAGTCTATAGCTTGGACAGCAAATTTCCTAGCTCCGATCCACCTGAAGGCAGAGCTCTGCTGCACCACAGCTAGTTTACAAACAGCTAACTGTTGCTTCAACTTTGTTTTCGTTTTTCAGGATTGTATGCGAGACGAATGTAATCTCTCAACGATCTATCAGCGCACTCAAACTTTCCGCTATCAAGTTGTTCCAGCCTCAGATTTCAACGAAAATCTTATCTTGACCAGTGTTCGGTTTGCTCGCCATTCCGTCTGCATGATAAACGAGTAGGCAAACTTTTTCGGACACACCCGAAAAAACGGAGTTGAGAAATACCAATCTCTTTTCGAGGAGGTCAGAAATCAGTCTACGAAAAATAGCTTTGAAAGCTGTCATATGAGCAAGTCTAAACAGATCCAAGAGAAAACAAAAAACTTCCGCATTTTTATTTGTGCAACAAATCACGCTTGTGCAAAAAATCCAATCACACCACAAAGAATTTTACCTAGTTTACAGAGCGACGGAAAGCTGCGAACTGGTCAGAGAAGGTGACAATCTTTTCGAGTCGACATCGAATGTGTCTGCTCCTCTTCGCTTCCGCTTATGCTCAGCGTTTCCCTAAAATTTCCCCGTTTATTTCATGTTTGGTCACAGGATTACGGTCGCGCGCTGTAGCGAGAGCCGGTGCTGTTGGTCCGGTGCTGACCATCCATCGCTTATTGGTGACCTATTTCAGAAGATTTTTGCGAAAATCGATTTTCTTTGACTTTGACATCTTTTTTTAATTGTCGTTAAGATTAGTAGCAACAATGATACAGAACACTCCTTACTATCTTTTTTAAAATTTGTCAGAGTTCCCCTTCCAATGACGTCACACCAGAGATGATCAAGCTATGAATATTCCGATCGACTCTGATCTGCATGAAAGGACTTACACTTGTTGCTGTGGTGCTATTCGTATCAAGGTATTTCATTATCAATAATTTATTGATTTATATCGATTCTGAATTTCATCTCTCAGAAGGGCGCTTACGGAGTTGCAGTGTTTTACGCAATGATCATAGTCTCCAATCTGGGAATTCGTCTCTACAAGTCAAATGAGGTAATCATCGAATTTCAATTTTTTTGCCTTTTAATTATTTTACACAGTGTAGGTGCAATGGAACTGGCAACTTTTGTTTCTCGTTTCCGATACGGTAGCTGTACTATGTTTGGTATATGGGTTGGCTAGGGAACAAGCAGCTTTTCTGCAACCTTTTACAATACTTAGCGTGAGTGACTAAGATTATTGATTTTTCGATTTCTATAATCGCAACCTTTTTTATCGTTTGATTTACTCATTGTTCGTTGTTGATTTAATATCGTTTGCTTAGTTTTATTATTCATTCTTTATTATTTACTGTCTCGAAAGCACTATCCAACTACAGCTCATTTCGTAATTTCTAAATTCAGTGCATCTCAGGCCAAGTCAAGACTTGCTCGCCGACACGGCGCTGGCACGGTGCTGGCCGAAACCCTAGAAGCGGCCGCAGTAAATGTGCATTTACAGATCGTGACCGTCAGCTTTTGCGTGCTATTGACAGCCTTCTATGCATCCGCAGTATTCGATCCCACATCATATGCTGGTGAACAAATCGAAATATTACTTGCTGGTAAAGTGAAAACCGTCTCGGAGTATTTTGACACCACCCACAAGAGAGGTAACTAAACCACAGTTTGGCACCCAAAACTTATTCATCTTTGAATTTACAGTGATAACAGCTGTCGCAATGATCGCAACCATGGTTTACGGTGTTACAGTAATTATACATAGCTGGCTTATGGTTGTCGTCGTACGATGTGCGCAGTGCTTTCGAGAAGAGCAATCAATAACGGTTAGTTCTGCTAAGGCGAGGACGCATTCACCCTTGAGCACTTTTTTCTTCAGGTGAAATTCTAATAGGCATTGTGAAGCAGTGGTCAACCTTATCGGATCTCATGAAATAACCTGGTCTTTTCTTATGCTGGAACAAAGAAATTTAGTTCTGATCTTGAGCATATGTTCAACTGAGTGTCTTATATGTTTCAGCGTTGCGTTGTTCTGGCATTCCTTTTTTCAATAAAAACATTGTTTCGCAGAACGATAGCCCCTGATAGATATTTCATGATAGCCATCCTCTCGGGTAGATTTCTTATCACTCACAAAGATCCAATTATAATGCATCTAATTGCTTTTTATGTGAAGAGCATGAGAAGAGGCCTGGAACAGGTGTAGAAGAATATCCAGGGATTCATGTGAACGAATTTCTTGGCCAAGATAAAATTAGTTGGCCCAGTGCTCTCTGGGGACTAAAATATCATAGTTCCATCTCTTCAATCTCTCATATTATTTCATATGCATCTACGGTTCAGTTTAGATCTCGGACTTGAATATTTGCGTGTTATAATGTTTAGAATATACATATTCTGCGGTTGACATATTCTCTCAATATCTTTCGAAAAAATGCCTTTAGCACTAGAAAGGAAAATGTCTAGTGAGTAATCATCTTTGATGATGACGTTTTTATCAAAAGAACGCATAGCAAAAAAAAATCAGACATATATTAGACTTTAGTCATGGCCGTTAAATGCATTCTGTGTCAGTTAGAACAATTTCTCTTTTTTGTAAAATGAATAAGGTTTGAACGCTTAGAGAGCTTGTCTTCCTTTATCATGGAGAAAAAAAGCGGCTGCGTACTTCTAGGTGTAAACTACGCAATTTTTAGTTGAGACAAGATGTTTTTTGTCTCCCTTCTATGGTTTTGATGAAGAAAACGACTTAACATCAACTAAATTCATAAAGTTTATCTTAGGGGATCCATTACATAATGATAGTTACGTCACGATTCTTTTAGCTCTTATGTAAGGTCTTTTTGTCATCAGGACCGAGTATAAAAAAAGATCCAAGCGCTCAGTTCTCAATGGATTCAAGAAGTTGGTCACTCTAGCCATTCGAAAATCTATTGAAAACAATACGTTGAGATCAAAAAGATTCTGCACAGAATTGTGGCAGATGAATTCAAAATTTGCAAAACGCTCATTATTTTCGCAGCAATCTACTAATATGTATTTGTAATAAAATGCGCAATAATCCATGTCGTATAGCACTAGCTTCCCTTTTTTTTCAAATTAGTTCATGTGCTATACAAAGTCCTTCATCATTTCCTCACAATTTTTTTTTCGTTAAAGAATTTTCCACTTCAACGTTTCTAGAATAATAGGTAAGCACATTGTACTGCTTGTACCTTGTGCTGTTGATATCTTGTGCCATTAGGCTCAATTGTAGACATTCTTATTGATTTTTTTTTGTAAACTGACCAAGTTAAGCTTCAGATTTTGCTTTATGAAGATAGAGCGCAATTTACTTTGAATAAAATATTTTACGCTATCTTCTATGATTGCTCTTAAAAATAAGTAGTTAGTTTATGCTGACTTTGGGAGGATTTGAATTTCACTATCCCAAATAAAAAAAATGCAGTTCTAGTGCTCTTTTCATGTGTAATTTTCTTTTTGCAGCATTTTTTAAGTTCAGCAAGAAGGCATATATAATAGTATAGTACTTTTTTTTCCAATCATCCCTTTCTCTCGTAACCGTAGACTCATTTCTTTCGAAAATCTGATCAGTTGCTCCGCATTAGCTTGAAATCGCTGCATTTTTCTGCAACCAAGTATGCAAGAGGCTTGCAGTGTTAGCAAATTACTTTTTGCGAACTCTTTTTTGACACAAATGAATTTGCTGAACATTCCTAGTACTTTCTGCATTTTTTGGCTTTTTCTTTTGCCAGTGTTTACCATTCAGTAGATTGAGATTGAAGGAACAGCCTTCATACTATCAGAATCACTTCTCACTCGCCTCAGAGCGTTTCAGTCCAACAGTTTCTCCGTTTTTTGCATAGTTTTGACTGAGCGCTAAATCTACAGAAAGAACCTAAAAGCACTAACACGGCATCGTGTCCTTTTTCTAGAGAAACCAGGCTTACCATAATTTTTTAAGAGGGTCGAAATAATCATAGAAATATGCGCGTCATCTTCACCTTTGTTCAAAGACTTTCCTTAGGAGGAAAACTTGCGAAAGCTATCGAGCTGGTCTATGGTCTAGCACCTTCAAAGAATCATGTGCGATCTTTTGCAGCCATCCTGCTGCGTTATAATACAAGCATAATGGCTTGGTAAAGTTGTTCTTGACTAACAAGTTCAACGAAATTTTCTTCCGAAAAATTTGTAGTTTTCGAAGTCGTCTCAAATACACCTAAAAAGCGCATAATTCTCCTTTATAAGCACTGTGAAAACCTTAGTTCATTATAGGAAAACATGAAACGGAAACAGGAAACTTTTTGAATGATCTATGTATTAGGTTCTCCCAAAAATAAACCGTATTTTTGAATAAATCAAAACATTTTTGTTTTTCTGGCAGACTTGGAGCACTATTCGATAGAGCGAGGCAAGCTCTGCAAAATGACCACCAAGGGTCCGCCTAATTCGCATTCCATGTAAAGTTTGAAGCCAAAATCGAAAAAAAGTTTTCACCTGAAAATGATTTTTGCGAGGAAAACCCTACGGACCTCCAACTTGGTCATTGTACAATAGGCACATAGTAGTACTCAAATAAGCTTTTGCCGAATTTTTTCCGAGCATAGAAAGCGAGGAACAAAAATTGTCCAAAAATGGCAAACTCCGGCCCCAGCCCCTCCCACATATGCCATTGTATACTACAAGCCTTACTAAGTACAGTTTCAAAACTTTACCTCTGTATTGCTTTTATAATCGAGAAATACCAACTTTTACATAAAAAACCCGAAAAAAGTGGCATTTTGGCATTTTGGGATCCCCTTTGTTTCTCAATTTTGAACACTGGAAGAAATCAACCAAAATTATTTTTCGATACTTCTATGTGTCTACTATATAAGGACCAAGTTGGAAGTCCGTAGGATTTTTCTGGAAGGAGATCCAATTTTAGGGTAGCTAAAAAATTTTGATTTTTGGATCAAAATTTCACCTGGATAGCCACTTAGACGGTTCTTTGGTGGTCATTTTGTAGATCTTGCTTCGCTCTATCGAACAGTGCTCCAAGTCTGCCAGAAAAACAAGAACAGTTTGATTTGTGCAAAAATACGGTTTACTTTTGGGACAACCTAATATTTATTTATCCATGTCTTAGGCGCGCCGCCGAGCATTTTCTCTGGAATTTATTCTATCCAAGTTTACGCCTTTTGGCTTCATTTTTGTTTCGCGTATATTCACTATGCAATATATAGACACATACTTATTCTCACTGCAAAAAGTTCAACGTTTTAGGTTCATAATTTTTTATGGAACCTGTCGAGGATTCTGCAAAGGAAGACAGTCGAGCTCTAGGAGCAACACTGTTTGTTGTGCGTTTTTTTTTCACAATTAGTTCCATTGATAGAGCACAAGTATTATGCAATCAGCAGCTTGCAAGGCTTGCACCCACGTAAGCGATTGAAAAAAATATTTACAGATGGCCACAATCGGCGTCACTATGTGTATAATTGCAATAAGAGAAGATTACCGATTGAGAAAACTGTATCTATTTAAATACTTTAGTCTTTCGCATGCTATTATCCACGGTCTAAATCAGTTCTTAGTTGTAATTATATTCATGTCTACGCAGACTTTTGTGTAAGTAAAATCATATTCATATTAGAGATTTTCACTCTCAAGCTTCTTCCAGAGGACAATGGATGAAGCCCCATGTAGTGGGCTATTTCGCTCTTTCATTGCAATTTTCAAGCCTTTACACTTCGATAACAATGAGCTTGAATCGGTTGATGTCTGTGAGATTTACGCTCCTCTATGCAAAGCTATTTACGCAAAATCGCACAATTCTTATTATTGTTTGCACATGGCTTTTTTCCTTCTCTACAAGCACTGTACTACTCGTTGGTAAGTCGTATAAAGTTTATTAACTGACCATACTTCACACATAATATGATTTTTTTTCCAAAGACTATGGTAAGTATGTTAACTGAAATATGATAAGAGAAAGTCGTAAGTAAACAGTTTTACATTTTTTCATCGTTCCCAACAAAAAGAATTTATATTTAGAGGAACGACAGTAACAAATATTCAATTAGTATCCTAAATACAGGCGCTTCACCCCACCAGTAGAAACTTCGCAATGGTTATGCATGATATTTTTAAGCGCTGCACATTTTGTGTAAACTTTTGGTGCAAATATTGGGCCCCTGGTCTATCATTGTGAAAAACGAAAAAGGTTTTAGACATCGATATATTCCTTCTAGTTGCACTAGTTCATAATTTGTGGAAAAAAGACCCTTTTTCCAGGAAAGTTCGCGGCTTTGCGTCGCGTTGCCACCTCGCTTCGAAATAGGCAAATTTTGAATTAAAGGAAAAGTTTTTAATAGAAAAGCCTTGCATATATTGGAGAGCATAAGACGCTGACTCAAAATTTGTCTACAATATCTGCTTCACACCTCTGAACGTCAAGTTATGAATATTTTTGAGGTGAAAAAATAAGTGCAAAAATTAATGTATTTTTTGCATAGAGTGTCCTAACAATCAAGGTTGGCTCATTCAACACGTTGACGAAGGGCCATGCCATTTTTAAGGTCTCTCCCTGTGGACGAGACGTTTCCGTGAATCCCTACGCCTGCCTGCATGCATGTATGCATGCATCTACGCAGGAAATATAAATGTGTCAAGCCCCGTCCCCATGTGGCAAGCTCCGTCCACTCGGCCAAAAATGTCGGAAATTGCCCAAATTTTAAGGATTCACGCGAATTCCCCCACTTTTGAAAAAAGGGCAGAGCTCGCCATCTAGGGGGCGGAGTTTGTGTGACGGTGGGCGAGGCGTGGCTAGAAGTTGCTTGAGGTCTTTGCGTTCATCTACGGCCTCATCCATGCTTTTTATGAACAAAAGGTTTCTTGTGAGGGGCATAGGAGTGGGCGTTGCCAAAAGTGGCGGGACTGGTAGATATGGTACATCTGAGCCTATGTTGATTGTACGAACAAAAGCTGAGACGATTGGACAAATGGTATTGAAAATAAGGCCGCCGCGCACCATTGCGCGGCACTGTTGTCAACGTGTTAAACGCTTTCGATTTTTTTCTATATGCGGGATCAATTTTTTGACGGCAAATTTATACTCAAATAGCGAAGAAAGATTTTAAACTAATTCGGTACCTCCAGAGAGTTTTTGGATTTTCTTTGCAACAATGGCACTTTGACCAAAAACACACTCTTTGCCAGCTTGACTCCAAACCTTGTTTAGTATAAAGAATCGCTTGTATGGCCACTGTAGGTATACGGTAGGTAGTCAACTGTCAGCAGCAGCCAATGTATGCACTTTCTCAACAATTAATTCGTTGAGTAACCTTGAACTTATCGTAAACATGAAGATTGACTGCCTAGCGTGCAGCTATCATACACAGCAGTGTCGGTCTGATTTTTTGCGCGAAGGGAGAGGGGATAGGACCATGCTCTCTAAAAATTGGAAAAATTCTATACAGACCTATGACATTGAGATTTTGAGATTTCTGCTGGTTAAAGTTTTTTTTAATTTTGGAAAACATTCTAATTGCTTGCAAGTAATTTTCAAAACAGCTAGGGTATTCTCAAAAAGTTCGTGGTCATTCTTGGAGGGGGGGGGGGGGAAGGGAGGGATGAACTTGGAAGAGAGTTTGTAAGTTCTAAAACGAGTCATGGCGATGAGAGCACATGTTGCGGACTCCGGTGTGTCGGGACGCAGCTATTACCCAACAGCTGCCCGCGATGGAGGTTGGCCTTAGATAAGGAACCTCTGGCAGTGATCTCCGCCCGCCGTCAGGAGACGGTTCCCTCTTCCCCCTTTCCCTTTCCCCTTTTGTAAATAGTTTGCATAATAAGCATTATAGTAAGACTTATGTAAACCCCGCTACACATCAGGTAAAGGACCTGCAGACCTTTATCCTGACATGGAAGTCCCAGGGAGATATTTTTTTAGAATTTTAAGATCAAATTTAATTCTAGAACTTTTGATAAGGGATTTGAAAATTTAAATCCCCTCCCCCCCCCCCCCATCTTCTACAACCCTCCGATGGTATGGAAGGAGTCGCTCACCAACGAATGAGAGAGAGTGTGTGAGTTTTATACTATTCTATTTACATATTTATCAATAATTCTACAAATATCTAATCATTTCAGAAAAAAAAATAAAATAAAATAAAAATATACAGTCCTGCGAACAGTCCCATTATGTCAATTTTCGCTTAGTAAATTACCGGGATCCGTGAATATCTAGATAAAATAGCCGAGCCGTGAATCCGTGATTGCCGTGATTTTTTTTGGAAAAAAGCTTATCCGTGACTTTTTTGGTAAAAATACATGTCCGTGATTCCGTGATCCGTGAGCCGTGATCCGTGAATATCTAGATAAAATACCGCGAGCCGTGATTTTATCATTTTTGCAACCGTGATCCGTGATCATCAATTGATATATTTTTTTTTCTTCTTCTTCAATAAGACAATGGACTTGTTCGCATTCGCTAGCATAAAAATTACAGATCTGAGTTAATTTCGATCCAGTTAACTACTGGCCCTTTACAGATAATCCTCTGATGGGAAAAGTCGATAATTAGAGTCGCTAGTGATATAGCGCAAATGCTTTGACCTTCTAGGCATTATAACAAAACGAGTGTAACTGTCCGAGCGTGTCGACCTTTTCTGGTGATAAAGTAGCGCAGCAGCTTGTCAGTGGTGTAAGCATTTGACCTCGCCGCAGACTAATAATATTTGCGCGCCACGGTCTAGCAAATGCATTAATTGCGCATACTGACCTTTTGTGATTGTGATAAGCGTTTAGCAACAACAATCGTGACCGTTATCTGCCGCATCGTCTACTCTTAAGTAATCTGGTTTAATACACTAGCTACCTAGGGGGCATTACTATCTCAAGTCGTACAAATAAGCATCCATCTGAAAAAGATAGTAACAATGATGATCTTCAGATCAACGAAACTACTTTTTGAAAAAAAACTTATTTTTCCAACTTTTGATGAAGTACCACTCTTTTGTCATCCATGATGGTGATTAGGTCCCTATAAAGGTCCTTTACTATTCGCATCAAATTTATTTCTGGCATAGCTCCAAAAAGCGACATACAGTGTCGCATTGCAAAAGAGAAATGAAATATAGCTCCAGAAGGAATAAATGTTACGGAACGTTCAGTCGGACCTAGCACGCAAGTCAACTTCTATCATAATTTTTGCAAAGAAAGGATCTAGTAAAGATCAGTGACCTTTCACTGGTCTTCGCTTGCAATTAAAAAAAAAGTTTTGGAATAGAATTGACCTCTCATGTGCGCATTTTTTTCCAATCTAGAGTGCAGCATCTGGGTGTACTATTCAGCAAAAAGAGTACACGCCCTAACTACAGAAGGAAAGGTCGAGAGTATAGCTAATATAATTCCGCGCCCCGAAGACAGTAAAGCGCTAAAATCATTCTTAGGTCCCATCGTACTTTCGAAGATTTACGCACGTTTTGCCTTAATTACCATCCATTAACCACTCTTCCCAAAAATGTTGAGTTTATTTGGAAGGAGGAACAACAAAAAGCATTTGAAACACTGAAACAAGCACTAGTGGATGTGCCTGTTTTAGTACCCCCTATTCTAGGGAAACCTTACATCATTCACACCGATGCATCCACCATCGGTCTCGGCGCGTGCTTCCTACAAGTCATTCCGGAGACTAGTAGTAAAATTTTTGATCGCCGCATGTCGTCGCCGCCTAAGAAGACACGAGAGGAACTGCGCAACTATCAAGTTAGATTTTCTTCACGTTGCCGATAGTTCCACAATGTTGATGACTGATTATGCACAGCTAAAATCGCTCATGCATAAATCAATCTCGTGCGTCGTCGTGTAAGTCCAAGAGCAAATACTTATCTGCTTTTTCATGTTGATCTGTCGATTCTGATAGCCTCAGCCATGAGGAGTAACGCATGTTTTAGAAGTCAGATGACAATTATTGCTGGGCGAGACGAAAAAAAAACCCAATAGTTATCCGTCCTCCGAATCTTAAATAGTCAATACGCGCTTCCGATTTGCCCTCAGTAATTGCTATTACCTATATGTAAATCCAAAAAAAATTTTTTTCTCTGTTCTACTGAATGCCATGCCGCTATGTAGCTGTTGAGAAGATAGAAATGCCGTTATAAGAGCAAAGTTTTTTTGGAGAAGAACTGGATAGAAAAATTGCAAGATCTTCCCAATTACCATCAAATTCGATTTTCGCTACATGATTTTTCCACATCGAAACCACAATCTAAATCCTTGGTGAAAGTTATGTTCTGAAGTAGAAATAGAAGTTCTGCCTCTAAGTAATTTTCTCCAATATCTTTTCTTTTCGGGGCCCATTATGTGATGAATAACACATTGAATATGTGGTGCAAAATAGATTCTTTTTTACATCCGTTGCTCGTGACTTCAATGGACTGCCTAAGAAGTCATTCCAGTATAATGTAGAAACATCTGCACCAGCTATAAGATGATCTGTGAGAATGCCAGAAAAGACAACTATATTCAGCCATATTACAATTAGCCTAGTTCATCTATCTTGGATGTGTAACTTTTCCACAATGAGGAAAGTAATCAAGAAATCTTGTTCCAATTTTTCGGATTCGAATCGGTCCCATAAGGTCTTTTTGTACGCCTATTTCAGTTCGCTCTTACAATTTCCTCATATCAATGCTCTCTTTAACAAACAGGGATTGAGCAGAGACTACTTCTCAGTATCTATCCTCTAAAGAAAACATCAATTTTTTTGAAATGCATTTTTGGTGTGACAGAGCAAAAGAAGAATCTTTGTAATTTTGGTGAATATGTTTGAAAAAAAAAAGAAAAGAAAGAGTAAGCATTTTTATACGTTCAGAGCAGCTTCGGAAGTTCAACAGCTTTCTATATCTGCTTGCTTCATTACTGCGAGCATAATCTTTCAGTTAGAGCTAAAAAGAAAAAAAAAGCAAGCCATACTTTTCGCATCAAAATCGTATTCGTTCTCACATAAGGAGTTATCCATAGAGCAGCGACTGAAGTTAACACCGAAAGAAATTCAAGAGTGCAAGGTTTTTAACACAATTCTAGTCAACAAGTACGGGTCACACTTTATGAAACAGAAAAGTCCAAAAAAAAACTTTTCGACCTTTTCCGTCTTTATTTTCTACCATCACTGTTTAAATTTTCCTAGAATTTTACTTTTTCAAAGTGCCAAACAAAACATCAATAACAAAAAAAATTGCACTACTCTCTATTCACTTCCACCCCATCTATATGAGACAAGCAATAATAAGGATAGTGAAATTGCGCACATTCATAACTTCGTAAAGTCAAGTGAGGAAATACTGAGAACATATAGCTTCTGAATGAGAAAGAAAATGGTTTTTTTGAAAGAGTCTTACTGAAAGACATTTCAGGAACATGGAAAAACAAGTGTTCTCAAAATCAACCTCATATTCGTAGAAATATGCACTAAATCATTCATAGGTTCTTGATAAGACTATTACCATGATTTTATGCCCATTTTTACGATTCAAATGAACTTGTGCATTCTAGATTTGAACAGATATTTCAATTTGAGGATTCCCTGCCTAAAACTTGATATTGGTGCCATAGTAAACTAAACTGGTTTTTTTTCCCGGAGAAAGCTCTTAGCATAGTTGAGAGGTTACGCTGTAGTCAGTTAAGGACTGTCGCGTTGCCAGTACACTTTGCAATATTTTCAGAGAATATTGACTAGTGTAAAGTGAAAGTTATTTCTTAACAGCCTGATAGACAAAACAGCTTCAATAATTATTTTTCTTCTCCAGTTCGCTTAGAATTCAAAAAAAAATTGCTATGCCAAGATTGAAGATAGTGTCTCAAAACTCCTAGGTAAAACATTTGTTTATTTGAACGCGTATCGTTCTAAATTTTATGCGAACGATAGTGCTAAACAATGATGCAGCTTTTGAAACAATGATGCAGCGCCTGAAAAAAAGAAATCACAAGTGAATAACCTAAATTCTTCTCTAGCTGAATGCTTCTAAGCTCATTGACAAAGATTCAAATAGTTCTGATCAAGCTAAAATCTTCAAATGTCGTGATGCGATAGGTAGCGATGCTAGTCTAGTTTGAAAGAATGAACTTTCGAATAAACATTTCTGGGAAATCTTGGATTGTCTCCGATGATGCATTTTTTCTGTTGATTGTGTACAAATCTCAGAGAAAAAAAAAGATTCTCTTCCAAAATGTGGCTCTTCTTTTTTTGGTTCTCTAATTTCAATAATATGAACGAACGAATGATTTTTCTGAAAGGTTCGAAAAGGCTCATCAACCTTCACTTCTGAGTATGCAAATGTTTAGAAAAAAAAACCGCACTATATGCTACTGGAACAATTCTGCTCCAATCAAATATTTGGAAATGCGCCATATGACTTAGGTTCAAAATAAGAAGGACAGCTATTGGTAAACAGTGGAAAATAGCAGTTTCTCCAAATTTGTGCGATTGCACAAACCAAGTCTGCTTTACGTTGATAAACGTAGCATTTAGAACTACAACTAAAAATATTTTCAGAGAATATTACTTGTAGCTGAATGGAGATTGTTTTCAGAGAACAATTCTCTTTTACACAAAAGAAAAAACTTGCTGTTTGCCAAGAAAAAAAATCCTCAGTGCTTCTGAACATGTTAAGATATCCAGATTGAAATTCTGATCGGAAGCAATGACCGCATTTTTTTTTTTGAAAGGTGATAAGCCGAAGCGGGCAATAAGCAACGAAAGCATAGTTTTTTGTCGCAGTGAAATTCATTTTTGGGAATGTAAAAGAAACGTTTAGAACGTTTCACGTCATTCAGTCCTCGTTTTTTCCTAGAAAACGATGGTAATGATTCCTTTACAGATTTCAGCAAAATTCAGGAACAATCATCCTATAGAATTTTCTGTATTGGATTTGGACGTTGAAGAAACATAGATAGCTTTCACGATTGCATGTTAGTAGTGAATTAACACACATGATGTTAAGATCATTTCCGCTGAAGTTTTCATACTTATAATCACAAGCTACCAATCGTAGTTTTTGCAGCGGAAGCGTTCTGGTAGTACATTTCTATGCTAACTATTGTTGTGTCTGATTCAAGCTGTACAGTTCGATCTGCGATTCCATCTTGTAAATGTCGGTCATCGGCTAATGTTTTCCAAACTTAAGTTCAAAAATAAAAAATAAATAAAAGGGAAAACATCAGAAGATGAACGGCAACATGTTTGTAATGTTCTTCATTGTAGTCTTAAAATTGGTTGCAAAACCACAAGGCAAAGCTTGTTATAAACGCAACTCAGCTCAAAAAGCTGATTACTGCTGTTTTTTTTTGCCCTCGCGATTTTTTATCACGTGAGTTTGTTTACATTTATTTTGCCGCAACGCTGCGTTTAATACATATATGCCTCAATTTCTTTGAACCGGCAATTCAAAGAATGAAAAAAAATTCTCATACTAGGCAGCGAAAAAAAAATCCCCATTTTTCTAACACTCAAAATCTGCCACTATGTTGAATTAAACACAGTTTGTTGTGCTTAATTAAGCATATTTTTTTTCGTTATGTAAACAATCGCATTATTTATACGTTGTATAACCATATACTCGGTATAAATTACACAACGCCTTATTATCACATGACCCAATCCACTTGTCGCTCAATTAATTCATGTAAAATATAACTTCAGAATTACAAATGTCATCTAATACCGCTTAATATTTTTGTTAACTATGTAATTTTCGCTAATTCATGTAAAATATAACTTCAGAGTTACAAGTGCCATCCAAAACCGCCTAATATTTTGTTAACTATGTAATTTTCGCTCGCCAAGCTGTTTTTATTCATGTTCTAAACAAAAGCTGTTTCCCTCACCCAATTTCCACCTACTACTCTTCAAAAACCAGTCACGTCATCACACTCCTAGAATCTCCACATAAAAGTATTTCCATCCGTCAGTTTCCGAAAGCATGCCTTATTTATGCAACTACATGTCACTGCCATTTCCAAGCAGTCCCTTACGTCACATCCTCCATTTTTATTTCTCAGCTTGAGGACAAGCTTACTCAGTATCCCCAGGATAAGGTGAAGGTCGTTGGTTGGTTATCCAGCTCGCCTAAACCAAAGTCCCTACTCGATCGATATAAATCTGAAGATAATGGTACCGAATTCGAAGTTCTCTATGGTCTCGCCGTATCACGTGTACTCCTTACACACGTTACTCGGAAGACATTCAACAACAGCTAAACAAGCTCGAGGACGAGCTTTCTTAAGGAATGGAGATGTCGGGACGCAGCTATTACCCAACAGCTGCCCGCGATGGAGGTTGGCCTTAGATAAGGAACCTCTGGCAGTGATCTCCGCCCGCCGTCAGGAGACGGTTCCCTCTTCCCCCTTTCCCTTTCCCCTTTTGTAAATAGTTTGCATAATAAACATTATAGTAAGACTTATGTAAACCCCGCTACACATCAGGTAAAGGACCTGCAGACCTTTATCCTGACAGGTGATAATCATGTTGTTTTTTTTTTCAGGAAAATGATGTAGAAGTGACTTTCGTTTTGCGAAAAGTATAATCTTTCGTAAAAAAATATCTCTTTTAGAAGATTGCGGCTTTCATTTTCAACCAAATGGAGCACTATTTCACTTTGGTAAAGCACCTTGCGGTGAATTTGTTTCTCTTTATATGGACATTATTTTCAACTTAATCTTAACGTCTATAGTTGTACCTATGGACATCTACTCACTCTATACCCTATACAAGTACAGCAAGGTGAGCCTCAATGTGTCGTTAATTTTTGCTCAGCTAATGATTTTTCACTTACGAAGATTCTTCTCTTCAGAGTCGAGTAATGAGCACAAGACGAGTGAAAACAGAAAAACCATGGTTTGTTCAGGTAGAATGAGAGATTATATTTTAGCAAAATATAGTAAACAGTAGCCAAGAGAAAAATATCCCAACTATGTTTCAGACGCTCTCAAATTCTTTGATATTTGCGTCAATGCTGTTTTGTTTTCACATAGCAGTCTTTTTCCCAAATGGTCTTGGTCCATTTTTACTTACTGTTGCAGCATGGGAATTTTGGCTTATGTCTCCGCAGTAAGCTTCATACTTAACGCCATGTTCGGTTTTTTATATTTTTTTGCAGGATTGTTGGAGTTTTTGTACAGAAAGAATACCGCCTTGCATATGCGAAGTTATTTGGGTTGAAAGTAGCAACAAAAACAGATCTAATGGTTCAGACAACGGCAACAAAAAATGCTTGGCATAGTGTAAATTCTTAGTGATTGTACATATAAATAAACAACCCGTTCTAGTTTTGTTCCGAGTGTAAAAACATTTTTATATTAAAGAAGAAATTCAAAAACTGCATTGAGCAAATTGAGCTATTTGAGCTCACAATTAATAATCGAGCCAACAATGCAAAGATTAGGTTATTCGACGATACGGTATTATTGTAGAAGTATGAGGGGAAGTAACTGGCAGATTGCCAAAAAATTGCTGGTATGATGAGTATGACGACAGAAACTGCTGCGATTGCGTCGCTACGTAGAAATTAAGCATTGAAATTTGAGCACCTTTATTGTAAAAATATTCCTAAATTTAGCAATTCTGAAAATTCAATTTATAAGCTCAATACAGGCTACAACTTAGAAAGAGAAGCATCATAGTCTGTAATATTATGAAGCCAATAATCTACAACGGAACTATGATAGTCGAATCTGTTGCTAGGAAGTAATCTTCTTTTAAGGTCCGCTACCACGGAATAGTAGTTCCTCTTCTGGGCATTGAAGGAACGCCAATCTGAACTTTTTAGAAATTATTTTCGTCTGGAAAAAATGATTGCTTACCAGCGTTTGGTTCCCTTCCGTTGATAAAATTCACAAAACTCTTTTCATAAAACTCGTCAATAATCTTATCGTTAATGTCGAAGCTCCGCATGTGAGTTCCGATGAAGTGTGGCATATCAAAAGAATGCATAGGAAATGGTCCTTGACTGAAATTTAGTAAAAAATTCAAAGCATCTGAGAATATTCGAAAAATTCACTGACTCGTACTGCATCAAATACACATTCGATCCTTTTCTAGTAAATAAGAAGCTAAACATCGCGTTAAGGGTAAACACCACTTGAGAGAGATAAGAATCGCTGACTTCTAGAAAAATACGAGTAAATTTTCGCTTTGTTCCATTTTAATCTACCCTCCTCAACTGACTTCTTGATTTCTTATCCTCAAAATATTTTTTTCTTATTTCAGCTGGATGCTCGACCATGAGAAATGCTCCAATATCGTATATATCATCATTTTGGAAGTTGAACTCATAACGAGTTGAGCTGCAAATCATTGGCCTAGCCTGTAAAATTTTCATAAAAAGACGAAAAGCTTTCAAATTTGATTATACTTACTATACAGTTTACAGTAAAATTCTTGAAATTGGTCTTATCTTCGACGAGCGGTGGAGCAAACAAAACACCGTCGAAAAGCAGGCCCTCATTTTCTTCCAACATTCTTTGCTTTTGGAGAAGTACATAAGCATCCACAGATCTCAGACATTCTACGATAGCTTCAGTTTCGGCTGCAGTCGTAGATGACGGACGGTCTTTGGATGGGACGCACTAAACATTAAAAATCAGAGCATTTACTTTACAAATCCAATTTGTGCAATTTTCATCTAATCATGCTTAGCTAAATATTATGGTTCATAGCCTGTATCATTACAGCGCCCTTTTCCCATCAAAACGTCCGCCTCCGCGCCACGTTCGCGCGCATATGGCGTGAGTGGGCAAAAACCTTCATGGTGCGGGACGCGTTGCGGACGCGTAGTTTTCACGCAAATGAGACTGCGCGATTGAGATGAACTATCTTTTCATTTCCAGCTGAGAATGGTGATGATCGGGATTTTACATTTTGTGTCCCAAACTGCCTTATATGTTTCTCGCTTGATTATGATATTTGATCAGTTTCAATTATTTACCCCGACTTCGTAAGCTACTCGCCATGTTAGATCCGCACGACCAGCACCATTTCGATAATTAACAGCTGGACTCAGTGCGATTAACTGTTGAAACAAGCGCTTCTCAGGATCGACAAGACTGGAAAGACAAGAGTCTGCTCATCAAACTAAAAAGTTACGATTATTATTTTTTGTTCTGACCTTGACACAGCAAACAGCAGTGCGATGCTCCCGCCTTGAGAATGGCCCATGAGCGTCACTTGGTGGTGATCACCACCAAAGTTGGAAATTTCTTGGTGCACAAACTCTAGCCCAACAATAATATCTAAAACTGTTCCATAAGAAATGTACTGTCAAAGTGCAAAGATACCATGGTAAATCGAACCATACCGTAGAGTGCAAGATTACGTGGCACTACGTAATCATTTTCGAATGCGAGTACACCAAAGAATCCTAATCGGAAAGCGGAAATAACAAAGACAATGTCTAAAAGTGCAAATATAGGTGATAAGAAAAACAGAAAGGTGAGACATTACCTTTTGAGGAGTAACGATCAGTTATGTACTGATCATCGAACATTACAGCAGAATCATAGTTCAAAGCTCCACCATGGATGTAGAAGACAACTGGGCATGAGCCTGGCTAGAAATCTTTTGATTAAAATTAATATTTTTGTATCGAGTTGAACAATAGTCGACAACTTACATTTGACATACACTTTTCGCTGGTGAAGATGTTTATGTATAGGCAATCTTCACTTATATTTTGCTGGGGTGATGTAGTCATGGTAGAATTACTCATACAAGCGGCACTAAAAAGAATTTTTTGGTGAATTTGCGGTATTTCACCGCGGTTCTTTTAGGACAATGAGTGATATACTTGCTTTGAGCCAAAAGTTTTAAAGAATCAGAAAATAATCTAGCCTTGCAATAAATGTGAAGGAAGTAGTGCACAGCTTAAATTGAGTCAATTTGAGAAAAACAATTTTACCTATACTGTTTTGCTGATTTTACTCCTCTCCACGGCTTTGGAGGTATCGGCAGTTTGAATCTACGATTTCCAGTTGGTGGTTGTGCGAAGGGAACTCCCTAAAGTATCAACTTGTGACACAGAATTTCCCAAGCTAGAAAGGAGATGCATGAAGAAGGCTCAGACTTTTTTAGAAGAACAGAAGTAAGTGATTAAATTTATGTTTGGCAAGCTTTCATAAAACAAAAACTCTGCAAATTAAATATAACAAAAACAATAGATAATCTCCTCACTTTGAAAATCCAGCACGATTTATTATATACTGATTGAATTGGCGATCCTTCCAAATAACCATAGCTTGTTTGTACTATGAGGTCGCTCGCTATTATAAGTATGGGCAGGAGTAGAAAACTCAGAATCATGAATGTACGACTGCATGTGTGACCTAAGAATGTGTGGTGAGAGATGCAACTGATAAGATATTGCTTTGGCAGTGAATCCGTTATTTTTCCATTTGTTCTAGAAATTTTGTACCGAAGGACAAACAGTAATGAAATTCACAGAGCATGCGACTTTGAAGAAGTGAACAGGAGCTCGAAAGTAAATGGTGAGAATATTTGGTAGTTTTGAGTGCCTGATACGGTGCTTGATTTTAAACAGATACTGCTCATTTTGGTCCGTACGCACGTACATCCGCGATGGGGAAAAGACGGGATCTAATGTGAGAGGGCATTCGCCATATCCCGCCACTCTGAATATCTTTCTTCTTCCTTCTCCATCTTGCTTATGAAGGTTCTCATACCCTTATACCTGCGAGTGGGTGCCAGGTCACATGGTCGTTTTGACCCATTTCGACACAATTTTTTTCGAAATCATTTCCGGTGGGAGAATTTGTAATCATTTTAAAGCTGTTCAATTATTTTACATAAGCGCAAGGAACCATGAACTTATTCTAGAATATCTTGCTTGCTTTTAACGGTACAAAAATACATTTTTCTTTAAACTCTTATCGCCATGCGAATCTAGCCGGAAAGGCTATAAATGATAGATTGAAGTGCCTTGCTGCTGCTTATTTCGCCTCTTCAATGAACTTTAGTGCACTTCTCTATACTGAGCAAGTCTTATCTGTTCATCGATGATAGTATGTCATTATCATTATGACAATGTTCATTTCGAAACTGTTTGATCGAAATGAGTCAAAGTTATAAAAATTGAAATTTCATCGGCTAGGTAGGGTAAGGCAAACCCTTGGTAAAAATCCTGTTGAACATGAAGATGACATGTCAAAAACGTGGCAGAAAATTGACGCCTTTAATTGAGAAGTTGAGATAAAATATGGTACAAGGACAAAAGCAAATTTTTTCTTTGAAAAAATGGGTCCAGAAAACGGAAAAGTACCCAAAATTGTACGGAGGATATACTACGCACTGCTAAACATGTTCATAGTAGATATAAGTAAAATCTCAGCATATCGAAATCTTCGATAAACCACTGCTCGCGAGCTAGGGATTATCGAAAAATTCGCTGTCTTCAGACTCTATTTCTCCTGTCGAAAACATACTTGGCATTAGCAGTGCCGTAGTCTATCCTCAGTACAATTTTGAAGCGATTCATTGACTTATCGGGAAGATAGGACACTTTGGAAATGAGAGGTGATACCCGGAGATCCCCAAAGGATCTTCAAGGGATCACACAAGATGGCAAAAAACCAGTCTTGTATGGCAGTAGCTTGGCAACCATTATGCGCAGGTATAAGGGTATGAGAAGCTTCATAGCAAAATAGAGAAGGAAGAAGGATATCTAGAGTAGCAAGATATGGCGCATCCCTCTCAGATCCTCTACCATCCCCAGTGGGGATGTACTTGTATACGGGCCTTAGATGCGTTTAGCTCTTCTTTAGGCTCCAAATTTCAGAAACATCCTGGAAATGGAAACTAGGAAATTTCGATTGGATAATTAGTCCCTGCTGAACCGATAGCTCGTAATTTTATGGGAATCTGAAGCTTAAAAAATTTCCAAAGTTCAAAACTTTATAAATGAAGCTAAATGTCTGTACGTATGCGTGTGTCTATGTGTGTGTCTATACGTAAGTTTCGAGGAAAAATTCATCTTTTTGAATTGATCCGGACCAAACTTGGCGCATCTATACAACGGGGCGGGGTGGGTGTAGTATGCCATTTTTCGTTATCGATTGGTATCGATTTTATCAATCTTTGCAAAGTTTGAGTGCGAGGGTGGGAGTTGGCACAAGGGGGTAAGCGGGCATGCTGATTACGAAAGAATTATTGACAGAGCCGGGCCGAACCGAGTTTGCCAGCTTGTTCTGAGCAAAGTAAGCTGAACGCAGCATTTAACATCTTATTGCCTTGTACAGAGTATTCAAAATCAGTGGTAAAGCTTCTGGAAAAACTTTCATCCCTACCGACACATAGAGGCTGACAATTGCTGTTTTGAGCCTTATCCACGGTCCATCTCGTGGAAGAACAAAGTAGAGGAACATCTTTATTTATAATACAACGAAATATTTATCACTACTAGACCTATATCCTTTTCATTCTTCTCAGACACGGGAGAGGGCGAGCCGCGGCCTTTTTCAGGCTGGAATTTCGCAGCTCTCGCGGCCCGGCCGGAGAGTGGCGATGAGCCTCAACTCGGCCGCAGGTGGGCCTCGGCTCAGCCGCAGCTGGTTGCTGGGCCGTCCGTAGTTCATTCTGGCTTGGCTTAATTTGGCCTTGGCGCAACATGGCACATAAGAAAATACGCAGTAAAGAACAAAACTGAGGCCACCGATATAGCAGCTTCGGAAACCAAGTCCGACTTTAAGATTGGATAACGCCAAATGCTATCCAAGCTTGTTTGCAGAACAAAACACATATTGATCTTGTTTCTGCCTGAAAGATGGAAACACATCTAATGCAATAGACATTGAGCGCAGTCTGGCCATGCGTCGTACATCACGGTATCCTTTACGCTAAGACACTAGGAGCGGTCGAGCCGCGGCCTTCATTTGACATGGACCGGGGCTCGGCCAAAGTTTCTTACACAGATTTTGGTCCGCGGCTCAGCCGCTGCAATGCTCTGCCCTATCATTAAGGGCCGCTGAGCCGGTCCGTTTCCTCCCGCGGCTCGGCCGGTGCAATGATCATGACGTGAACGAAGGGCCACGGGTCAGCCGCACCCCGGCCACGCCTCCAAATTGAGGCCGCGGGCGGCCGGAAAGGCCTTTTGGGGCCGCGGCTCGTCCGCTCCCAGTGTCTGAGTTGACTGTTCAACTCAGACACTGGGAGCGGACTTGTTTGACTTATCATTATTTGCAAGTCTTGGCTTATCTAATACAATGCTAAACTCTAATTACATTTCATTTTCTATCTTTCTCTACCTTTGCTGCGGGCCTTCCTAATTCTCCTTTCTATTATACTTTCATTCCAAAGGGAGATGCTGTAATTATACAGACATAATAAGAAGGAAGCATAGTGTACCGACCCGGATGACATTAGCACAAAGGAAAGAGAACCAGCAAGCGATCCTCAGCTACTTTCAGGCGGCTTATATACGCGTGATGGCGCGTCGCGTGCTTCTCACAGTATGATACTGTTCATCATGAACAAGAGTTCATGACACTCCCAACTTCGTTTTCCTCTTATTTAGTACAATCTCAAACTGCTGAGTAATAAAAATTGCCAAATAAATGTACCTAGGAGTCAGTAAAATTTTACATACAAAACTTTATAAATCTAGAGTTGATTCAGTCATGTAGATTAAGATGTATTCAAACATGTCTAAGAAGAAGTCGGTGACGCGTTCTAGACGAAGCAGTTAGATTGCACGCCGGTGACGTCCTACTTCCAGTTTGGCATGGAAACTTTCTCTCTATCACCCCTTTTCAATGTTACTCTCCTTTTTCCTCTAATGTACTTATTCATTTCGTTCAATTTTTTACTAACCGACGTCCCCCGTTCAGCCCGGGCTGTAGACTGGCCTGGCATAGTGATCAAAACGTCTTGGAACTCACAATTCGTCTCTCTCTTCATTCTAGTACTCGTCCCCTTTCCATCTCCCTTCCAGTTTCGCTCCTAATTTGCACTGCATAGCTCGTGGTACCTGTAGTTGTTGTCTTTCTTCTTGATCGCCTCTCTTCGTGACGTTATCGTCGTGGCCGCAAAAGCAAAATGCAAATAATTTTTACCGCTCTCTTCTACTTCACTTGGGGAAATGATTTGATAGTAATTGAAGAGCTTTCATTTTAAGTTTCACAATGGGTAGCTAGTTACTTTTATTGATTTAGTAATTTCGTATTACACATTTCTAAACTGATCACCAGAAATTACAATTATAGAATTCCGAGCTAATGAAGCTGCAGTTACAATGTTACATTTACAATGTAAAGTACTAGAGATTTTACAATTACCAGTTTGTAAAAGTCAAGTTACTATTACGGTTACTTGCGTTTTCCATACAATCTGAATTTCACAAATAGTTACTTCAATTACAGTTATAACAATTACAGACATTACAATTTCATTTTGAAAACTCAGTCTCTCGTCATATCGAGTTCATAAAGGCGGAACGCGGAGTGATGCTTGTCTGCCTCCCTGTCTGTTTCCATCCTTTCACAATAGTAGCATAGCGACTTAGAAGGACACGAAGACACAAGGGTTACCTTTTTTTCAAGCAACGTTCACACTTTTTCATTTCCCTTACTCTATAATACCTCTCTTCCAGTGTATCGTACTGTCTGCACCCAATTGCATAATAATCCCTAGCGTGATAAATACATACGGCGGATACCTCTTGGTCCTAACGATGGCGATTTCCCCTTTTACTTCTTTTCTTTTTCCATTTCTTCGCTCTTTCAGTACTACTCCATGTTTTTCATTCCTTTAACTGCTTTCCATGTAAATTTTCTTTTCAGTATCTGTTTTCCATTCGCTGCATCTGAGCTGTGTGGAACTGCAAAGCCTGATGTATTTAAAGTTTTACATGTGTAAAAAATTGTCATAATCATCGATTTTTGATCTGTATCATTTATCTTTATGGATTTTGCGAATTTCTCCACTGTTGCTAGAGAGGTTCCTTTCCGATTCTTAAAACTTCTCGATAGAGAAAAATTATGGAACCATCTTTATCAACATTTCAATTAAAATTTAAAGGCCTACGGCGATGGTTGTTAGCTTCCTTTCCATGTTTTCAAGTCTTCCATTTGTTCGGATCAATTCGCGGATTCTCGTTGTTGAATGGAGGTCGGGTGGTTCCACGAAGCGTCCAAAATTCACACCCTTTCAATTCCCATCACTATCACCTGGCCTTGCATCTCTTCATCTCTATCCGGTGGCAGATAAGCGGTTCCGGCTCCGCGGGTAGTGGATCGTTGAGTTCGTTCTGCTCGTTTTGGTTATTCATTTCTCAATACATTTTCGGTAACATTGTAGTTTCTTTATTGTAACAATACTACGAAGCATGCGTATTTTAAAAGAATTGCTTTAATGGTAACAAATTGATCCTACATGCAGATTAAAGAAAAAACGGAGCAGCCTCGTAGCGTAAGGAGAAAACGTAAATGATCCGAAGGAGAATGGACATCGACATTACCATCAGCAAGTGCAAACTGCTGCTTTTTCCGTTGGGAATTTAAACATACGGCAAGATCGCTGCGATGATAAGCGTTACAAGCGCAATGATGGCAATTACACTCACTGTTTAGAGGAAGTGTCTTTTACAGATACCGAAGAAATGCATTACGTCGGGCAGGATAATTGTGAAATCCCTGATGGATTCTTAGTCTTTTTCCTATTTGAAAGTATTTCAGAATTGGTTTCATTTCATTCATGTAACTTGACGTTCCTTGCAATTTGAAATGCTGGGTGTTGGGTGTTCTCCGCATTCTGTATTCACAGTTGCGGCGTTTGAAAAGCATCGCACTTTGTTTTTGATTCATTCACAAAAGAGAGTGAACTCTTGATGCGAACAAAAGACTTGTGCCGTTGTATGTGAAACGTTCGAGTAGCATGTTATCTCGGCGACGGTACCTTTTATGCAACTATAGCTATACCCTCTTACTGAAATGGGAACGATATTACTAGTGAAATCGGTGTCTTGTAGGTTTACTTCCATCACCGTAGCTTCTAACGTTATTGTCAACTGTGGTCATTCCTATGTATATCATAGGCTCTCCATTCTCATTCTATGCTATAATGCCACAAGGTAATGGTACAGGCATAGAATGTGGATCCAAAAAGGTGTTTGAAGTGCTTCCTCATAAGTATTTCATGCTTTTTTCTTTAGTTCTTCCAATCGTAGATGGGGAGGGATCTTAAAGGCACCCTCGATTTTGAGATTTGAGATTTTTAGCACCTCTTGCGCCCGCTGAGTCCAAATCCAAGCCTAAAATTGAACGAAAGTCTCAAATCAATGAGTTCTGGATGCCCTTCAGAATCCGCAGTAGACGAGCATATCTAGCTCCTGCAAGTCAGCCGCGGGCCAGCTGCGGGCCCATCGCAGGGCAAAGATGCATTCTCGCATGATCCGATCGATTTGAGCTTTGCGACTGTTAAGCGAAATCAGAGTGGGCGGGATGAACTTTACGCCCATTTGCTAGGGAACGGCTAAAGTGGCGGATCCGTCTTCCGAAAAATTTTCGAAGCGATTTTCTCGCTTTGGAAGCAACTTTAGACAGCGCTAGTTGGCCAGTTACACAGTTGAGGGCCCCGCAACCTTTAGACGTCGAAATCTCATAAACCCCAATTTGGGTGGACGGTGCCTTTAGGTTTTTCAAAGTTATGGATTTCGTGGGCAAGAATTGTTGAAGTTTTTATTACTTTAGTAGGGAAATGCCAAGGCGTTACGTATGCCTCGACTTTCCTCGGTAAGATGGAAAGAATGCTAAGAAGACAAGTCAGCTTTTTTACCGCCTTGAGATTGAGCGCCGTAGGCATGACGTTGAATTTCGATTCAAGGTTTGGAGTGGATCGGCATATCTCTTTATATATGAACCAGTGCATCACTTCTGCTTCGCAGTGGTTCGCACTGGTCCCACTGTCTGTTTGCTTTACTCATTCCCACAATAATGACATTGAAACTTGCAGAGCTATGCAGACTTCACGAATGAGTTGTAAACAACCACTCATTTCTAGAGCTTTTTCATGTGAGATCGGTAATTTCGCGTGAATGAAATCTAACAAATGCAAATTCAAATCGGTTTATGGACTTCCTATAGCTTGGTAGTCCCCTCAAGGACAACAACCGTGGGCTACTCTGTGCAAAAACCTTCACAAATGATCAGGTAAAATCTTGGCTAATTGAACATTTACACAAACAATTCTTTTTGGCGCCCTTTTCGTAATAATAAACTTCTGATCATTTTTTGGGCTAAAGTCCAATGCTTGTAAATGAATAACAATCAGATATCGTTGAAATGCATGTCAATTGTTTTCCATTAGGAGCTTCAATGTTTTCATTTCTCTTATCAAAAGATTTCTCACACTATAAACATTCTCATGTGAGTCGTCAATTCAAATTGAATTCCTAACTTGGCACCATTTAAAGTATCACAGGATTTTCGTTGGCTTGCAAATTTATACAGCTTTTCCCCACAAATGCATTTTTTTAACAGAGCGGAGAAACCCTGGGCTTTCTACGAGTTGTCCTTCTTCAGTAGATTTTGAAAGAACTGTTCCAGTTCTTATTTCCCTTCACGGAAGCGTGTTCGATGTTATCGACTAACAATAAGTATGTGCATTATGGGTTCTTCAAATGCTTGAGTTCCCTTCACAATGTACCTCGAGGTATTTCAAAAGAAACAAAAAAGGCAGATAAGGCGAAACAAACCAATAAATAAACATGGTATAAGTGCTGTATAAAGGCGATCAGGCTCAATACAGTCTTATCGAACAAGAGTTTATGACAGTTGCATTCTTGGTGAAAGACTAGTGCAATTTTGATAAATTCATGAGTAATAAACGTAAATGTTAGAGCAATATTGTAAAACAAGAAGTTGGAATTTGTTTAGCTATATGCAACCTTGGAAAAATTCAAAGCAATTTTTCCATTTGCTGAGTTTTTCTATTTTGTAATGCATTGGAATGAAATTGTCAGACTCGTGAGATTTATCTGTTGTAACATAATAAACAACCATCCATTCTTCTTCGTATTTCACCGAAAACGGCGGATGTTGCCACCCCGGTGCCGCCATGGAATTCGAGCAAGTGATTGGCCCATAACTTGGTTTGAAATTGCCCTCGCTGTGATGAGCGGTAGCCAATATTTCGCTTTTCTTCATATTCTTATACATTTTGATTCAGCAGTGGATGTCATTGTCATAATATACTACGTATACAAAATTTTGCAAGAGATGCTAACATACGAAGAATTACATCGCAAAAGCGAGCAACAGATGGCCGAATTGCAAGCGCTGCAGAACAAAGGAATGGTTTGTCAAAAAGCTTGAAGCAATCACAATAATTTACCTTCATTTTCTGTTATTTAGCAAGTAGCAGTTCCAATAGCTTTCATGCGCAAGATGAAAAAGGAACTGCAAACTACTGAAGGGTTTGATTCTGAAGTACATGGAGCTAGTCCAGCACAACCACTTCTAAGCGATGTCGTCACGGGAGAAAGCGCTGCTTATCCCAGGAAACCAAGTTCACTTCCAGTAAACAGCGGATCAAACCGAGCAGCTGTGTCTTCAAAAAATTTCGCATAGTGTCAGCAAACTCATGTATTCATAATTATAATATCTCTTAATTGATCTTGCATTCATCTTTTACAAGTTTTTGTCAACCGAAAGCGTACAAAATGAGTGCTAAGCAGCCTTTAGCCCGTTTTGAGTTACAAAATTTGATCAGAGCTAGAAGATGTTTTTCTCTTTTCTTTCTTATTCAAAAAAATGCAAGATTGAATGCATATATATGGAATGCCATCACGTGATGAAGTCTCCGTTTACAAAATGAAAAACAATCTAGCGTTTTACAAGTAACATTGTATACAAGACAATTTATCACAGTCACCACTAGTGGAATTGATATTTTCAAGCTTTAAACAAGGAAAAAAGCGAAAATTTGAATGTTTTTGCTTCCAGAAAGGCAGGTCTTAATCGACATAACAGTATCCGGATTCAGAAAGCAAACAATGTGTTGTGCTGCCTTGTATGGTATATACAGATCTCTGTGTTAAAGGAATCAAAATAAAACCGTATGACTTCCAATAACTTCCAAGTTCCACTTTCTTTAAACCTGGGCATTGTTCGTATTGACGAAGTATTCTGTGCCAAACAGGTTTGTTAGGTGATCTTTATAATCCAATCGAGGCCTAACGTTTCGACGCCTTCGTCTTCCTCAGAGGCCTGAAAATGGCTCAAAGTGTCATCTGTAGCTCCAGGCCATCAAACACCCTTCCTAATCCTGCTAGTTCTCGACTTTCGCCTGACTTCCCTATTGCAAAAACGTCAGGGCGGAAGATGAACATACCGACAGATCACCACAATGCGAGTTTCCGCACCGGAAATGATGGTCACGGCGGAAGAATGAAGTATACCATAGATGACCATCGGATGTTATCTACAGATCGCATAATGATATGAAGGGAAGAAAGTCGGAGGTTATGGACACGCACTCATTTTTGTTGTTCATAGCTGGATTTTTCACTGAAATCCAGAACGATTCTAACGCTTTCCTAGCCGAGGTTTCCTTTTCGTAAGTCAAGATTTTACATCTGATATTAAGTCATCTCCACCATGCGTTTCAATTCTATGCCTGCCCAGAGGTGATAACTGAGTTTTACGCCTTTTATCTGTCATGTGTTCGTTTATGCGAGTACCTAATGGTCTTCCTGTCTCTCCAATGTAGAGTGCATTACAGCTAAGACATTCACAGACACGCAGACAGTGGCAGGGATTCAAAGAGATGCGTGAACTCGTTTCAAACGGTTCAGTACGATTGTCTGTAAGCGATAAAGGTGGCGAGTTTGTGGTAATGCCCCAAGAGTTAGACCGCCGCATAACAACAGCCCATCTAGCCGACTTTGCAACGTACAGAGTAGTTTCTGAGAAAGAATTCCAGTTGCAATGCAAGAAACTGAATGACACTTGGACGGCAATAGGCAAATCTGCCGGACTAGAGGATAGATTTATAAGCAGGTTGAAATTGAGGAGTCCGAGTTGTCCAGTGTTTTACAGCCTTCTCAAAACGCACAAGCTTTCTTTACGGGACATGAACTCAATGTCAGAGGAAACTTACAAAATTAGACCAATAATCAGTTGTGTAGGCGGCCCTACCGACAGAATCTCGTGGTCCTTGAACAAAATAGTGAGCCAGCTGCTATCAAAGATACCGGCACATTTGTCCAGCTCGCATGAATTTATCAAACAACTCCAGAGCGCTAGGTTTGATTCGAGCGCAGTGATCGAGTCATTTGACGTGATCTCACTCTATACCAATGTGCAGAATGAGCAAGCCTTGCAGGCTCTATCGGAGATGTTGGATAAATATGGTGGTACTATGAATATGTTTGGACTGGGCAAAGCGCGAATCATGACCCTAGTCAGCGAATGTTTGAAGTGCAACATCTTTAGATGGTCTGGGACCTATTACTCCCAGATACGCGGCTTAGCTATGGGTCAAAGATTAGCGCCAGTGCTCGCCATTTGCTTTATGAGCAAAATTGAAGAACCGGTATTAGCTCGCATGCCGCTGATGTACTGCCGTTACATCGATGATTGCTGTATTGTCACCTCCACGCAGTCCGAAATGGACATGTGTTTCGATCTTTTCAATCAGCAATCGCAGTATTTAAAGCTCACTCGAGAAGCACCAGAGAACGGGTGGCTACCCTATCTCAACGCGCAAGTGAAGTTGTCCAAGGGCATTGTTAGCGTGAAATGGTTCCGTAAAGAAAGCTCCAAGAACATCCTTATAAATATAAAATCCGCACATCCAGCATCCGTGAAGAGAGCTGTCATTGGAAACATGTTCAGAACAGCCATGCAGATGTGCTCTGGAGAAAAAGAGCGTTGCGAGTCACGAGATCTAGCGTCACAGATTGCTTGCAGCAATGGGTACCATTCTGTACCACACAGTCAACATCTTAGAAATGGTAACAACATTCATAACGATAATAAACTTCCACTATGACTTCCGTTTATTTCTGATAGCGTCAGTGCGGCTTTTCGAAAATGCATACAACGCGCAGAACTGCAAGATGATGTTGCTTTAGTGTCCATTCCGAACGACAACATCAAAAAGCAGTTAGTTAGAAATAGATTGTATGATCGATACTGTATGTTGAAGCAATACTGCGTAGTATGCCCGCACGGTAAAGTAGGCGACTGTACTAAAGTGGGAGTGATTTATCAAATTGAATGTCTTAGCTGTAATGCACTCTACATTGGAGAGACAGGAAGACCATTAGGTACTCGCATAAACGAACACATGACAGATAAAAGGCGTAAAACTCAGTTATCACCTCCGGGCAGGCATAGAATTGAAACGCATGGTGGAGATGACTTTAATATCAGATGTAAAATCTTGACTTACGAAAAGGAAACCTCGGCTAGGAAAGCGTTAGAAGCGTTCTGGATTTCAGTGAAAAATCCAGCTATGAACAACAAAAATGAGTGCGTGTCCATAACCTCCAACTTTCTTCCCTTCATATCATTATGCGATCTGTAGATAACATCCGATGGTCATCTATGGTATACTTCATTCTTCCGCCGTGACCACCATTTCCGGTGCGGAAACTCGCATAGTGGTGATCTGTCGGTATGTTCATCTTCCGCCCTGACGTTTTTGCAATAGGGAAGTCAGGCGAAAGTCGAGAACTAGCAGGATTAGGAAGGGTGTTTGATGGCGTGGAGCTACAGATGACACTTTGAGCCATTTTCAGGCCTCTGAGGAAGACGAAGGCGTCGAAACGTTAGGCCTCGATTGGATTATAAAGATCACCTAACAAACCTGTTTGGCACAGAATACTTTGTCAATAAAACCGTATGATATTCCTTTCCATCGTCCTTCCAAATGAAGCAAAGGATCCGGTGACGCACTTCCTCTTCAAAAGTACTGTCCGTCCAAAATTCGGTTTGTTTTTAGCATTTCTGGGTCTTTCCATGGCCTTGAATTCGAATCAGGCCCGAAAGGAACAAGCAAACGGACACCTACTCAGATAATCGCCGGGTGCAGGCTATACTTTGGGAAATTCGAAATTTTTTTCGAATATTCGACTGTCGAATATTATTCGAAATCTCAAATTTTCGAATATTCGAATTTTCGAATCATTCGCATTCGAATGATTTATTCGAATAATCGAATAATCATTCGATTCGGTCCAAAGTATAGTGCAGGCGGTCCGCAAACTAGCGCTTTTCTGCAAGCGGTCAGCAAAATTTTGGGGCGTGGTCAAACCTTCAGCAGGCGGCACTTCCTTTTACGGTCGCATATTCTGCCAGCGGGCAGCAATACAGCATTTTCTGCAAGCGCTCGGCAAATAATTTTTTTCAGCGAGCGCTGGCCAAACTTTCAGCAAGCGCTAGGACTCTTTTTACGCAGTTTCGGGTGTAGCCGAGAAGAGGTGAGACTCTATGTGACAGAGGTGTCATCGTTGGTTTAATCACCCGAGTTTGGTGTACCTTCTTCCAGCGAAGGTACCCTGGGCAGTGCGGTCCTTCACAAAGCACTGTGCGGCCCCAAAAATTTGCATATTCTCGCGGGAAGACCGCGAGAATGCGGCCACTGGGTCGCAACTTGTCCAAAAAAAGACCGCGATAGTTCTCCGAGCGTTCGTCTAATATTGGCCTCTGCAAGCAGACCGCAAGAAATCAGCAAACTGTTTTTCCAGTGCCTGCTTGCTCAAAATTGGCATGGCCGCTTGCCTCGGTGATTATCTGAGTAAAAACGATTTTGCCTTTGACGCGTTCGAATTACAATTTCCCATTTGATCGGGTCAGCTGCGTGAGGCGTTTGATTGTACCGCGGTTTTCCCCTTATCACTGGCCACTTTGGATTCCAAGGAAAAAAGGAAGATTCTGTAACCAAAATGCTATTGTATACTAAATTCCAGGTGTAGAACAACATGTAAGAATTGAAAACTTATGAGAACGGAGAATTTTTGCCATCCTCGGAGTGGCATTAGATGGTCATACGCTTACCTAATTTGGAAAGCGCGCTCTTCATTTCATGCAGGTTTTTCATATACCCCGCGTATAGGACGCGGGGATTTTTTCTAAGATCGAACAGCACAGACACGCCAAAGTACTTCGTGACCAAAAACTATTTAGGCTGGCTTCATACTGATTTTCATGTTCTGGAACTGTTTTTGAACAGTTCCAGCACAGTGCGAGAAGTGTGCGGGAACAGTTCCAGAACATGGGAATCAGTAAGAATCCAGCCTTACAGTGCTGCATATTACCCGAGAGTATCGTGCTGCATAAGTGTCTTTTTCCGAAAAAAAAAACAAGTTGGCTGAGCGGCAAGCTTGAAAAACCGAAAAAGGTGCGTCTTATATGCGTGAAATTGGGGTGACTTACACTTTGATGTAACTCCCTATTGGGATACATACCAGAGTCAACGTGCGTTGCAAACGAATGGTTTTCCACTTGTTCTCAACAAATAAATTTCAGAAATTTGCTTGCCACAGCCTTCAGTCACATGATTTTTCCGCAGTACTTTACACTGTGCTCCTACTACCTCTTTGCGTGATTTGAATAGTGCAAAGAAAGAACTCTAAAACGAGTGTGCAAACCTTCTTTCATAAGAAAACTTAAATAAAATTTATTGACATCTAAGCGAGCTTTGGTTCACCTAGAACCCAAAAGAATAAGAAAAATTGATTTCAAAAACAAGGTTCAGACCTTCAGTTCATCAAAGGAATCGCCCCGATTATTTATGAAGTTAGCAAGAAGGGATGCCAAAGCTAAACATCTTTGAAAACTTAGGGTTAGTGAGGCAACGAGTGAAAACAGGGGCGCAGACAAAAAGGGGAAACTTCAGAAACGAGAGAGTTTCGGTTCCTGGTCGAAAATTTGCGCGCATTCCCAACATAAGCATGCTGTATATCACTAAATTTTAACTGAATGATGAAAACTGACAACTCACGAAGATCAAACTATTCGCAACTATCCAAGACACATTGTTATCCAAAAATAGCCCTGGGCAGTCCGACTTGGTCTTGCTAGCACTCTTCGCTTTGACTGGGATGTATAAAGCAGAGAGCTAACGTATAGGGCTAGTTTATATTATTGAATTAGTAGAATCTTCTACTCTCCTAAGCAATCCTTCAAATGCTGTGAATTGAGCTAAGTCCCGAGATCTATGGGAAAGCATCACAATTTATTGGACTATTGAACCGGGAGATTGGATGCTAGACCGCAAACTATGGAGAGATGAGAAGTAACTTGATGGCTAAGAGTGTGGAACGTTTACACCGTATTCTCACTGCGCCTCTAGAAGCAATTCAAATGTAAGAGAACAGTTACTGAATCTGGATCTTCATGATTAATTTGGACAATACTTATCGCATTTAATATTTTATTTGTTATTATTAGTAAAAGAAATCAATTAATTCAAATTGCAGGTTTTATTGCTCAGAAAGAAGATTACCTAAGGATTACAATGATGAGTCAACTTTTTAAGCAGCCTTCGCCATGTAATAACTGCTTGCGAGGCAATTTTTTCAGGCTTCCGGGCACTGCCGTACGAGTTATCATGGGGAAAGATTGCTGATAAGTCGTCGTTTGCTATCAGTGGCCATATAAGTACCGTGTAGGATGACGCTATTCCTATTTCATAGTACGTTTTTCAACAAAGTTTTTCACTGAATTATAGAATTGTCGTCTTGTAGGCACCTTGCATCTGTTAGAATTTCTATCAAAATTGTCGTAAACATCTTCTCTCATTGTATGAGAATCAACTCGTTTTCCCCTTTAATTTAACATCCCGCGGCTTTTCAATGTTAAAAGTATTGAATTTTTAGGATGCAAATTCTGGTCTTATGCTCGCTGGTGCTCAGTTGCTTTGCCACTCCGGTTGTGCAGCAGTCCCCCTCGGAACTGGTAATTATTTTCTGTTCAAAGTTCACCAGAATATTAACAACTTCGATTATATCAATAGCTAAAATAAGTGATTGATATTAATTTAATTGAATATAGGCTAGCTATGCTTACGCTGTCGATTTATCTGCACCTACCACTACCTCAGCCTTCCTCTGTATGAGGCAGAGTCTTTACAACGTTGCCTTCATCAGGTGAAAAAGAGTAAATTTTATAAAATTCTCATGAATTTCTACTTGCAGAGCTTACGTTCCCACTGGGCAAGGATCTTTCGATTCTTATGCATGCGCTAATATTCAAAATGCTAATGCAGGTAGATATGTGTAATCAACAATACGCTCTATGAACAATAGGAGAAGTTTAGCTGGACTTGGGACCGAGGTCTACATGACACCACAACCAAACTCGGTCAAAACTGGGAGCCAGCAATTTGATGAGATGTACGGAGGTCTCAAGAACGCCAACATCAATGTGCGATCCGTCTGGATCCAGGTAAGAACTTGAAAAACAATACTGCTACGCTTCAACACCAAAAATAAGCTATTTGCAGGTTACTTCACCAGTGAACTGGTTTTCTACCTCTACCAGCAATATCAACTTCCTTAACTCTATTCTCTCTAGGGCAAACGTCTGTTCCTAATGTTTAGAGAATCAATCTTCTTTAGAGTCAGTTTTTTTAGCAATACGGCCTTTCTATCGGTATCTACACTAGTATCTACGATTGGAACCAAATTACTGGTGGAGCAACCATCAACAATGCCATGCTCTGGTACTGGAACACCTATGGTAGCGGTGTCTCGAATGAGTCCCCACCCAACTACAGTGATTTCCGAGCATTCGGTGGATGGAGCACACCCAGTGTCAAGCAATTCGCTCAGGTCGAATCTGTCTGTGGTGTGACCGTCAATAGGTAATAAAAATCTTCATATTCTTCCATCGGTGAAAGGAGATAAAACTGTTCCAGAGACATCTATACCGTCAATGCTGCGCAGAAAGTCGCTGGAATGGCCAAATACGAGAAATCTGAGCAGATTATCGTTGGTTCTCTTGGTCTTGGGAATGCTGTCGCTGGCATGGCCGAAATCAAACAATAAAATTACTTGTATGATTTCTACTAAGTGATGAATAATAATTATTAACACATCCTAAGAACATTTGCGTTGCCAACTTATCCTGCTAATGTTATGTTCAGGAAATAAAGGATAAATTATTGAGCCTAGAAGTAAATTAGATCACTGCCAAAAGTGTGAAAATAATATCGTATGATTTCGCAAATTGAGGTAAAACACGTCGCATTGCGAAATAATGGGCCTAACCGTTCTCACTTGTCACATCGCTCTTCTCCTCCCCCCCCCCCTTATACTCGTCCTGGAAATGTGCGGATTCCAAAAAATTACTGAGAGATTACGAAAGATCAGCCGATCAGCAACATTGGGTTTTTTACTGCATAACCCTAAACACTACCGCGCCAGCCAATCACAAGTTCTTATTTCAGTTTGGCTGGACAGTGTATCACAATACATAGAATCAGCCCTGCGGGACAATTCTAATGGCTTGCCTACTTTAAGTTTTCAGATCATAAACCAATGCTGTCGTTAAAACATCAGGTGTTCTTTCAAACTTTTGCAAAAGCAACGAAACGGATTATTAGACCAATAAACAGAATGATCGCACTTTACAGCCACTAAACTTTGTGATAAGAAGGTACAACGACTAAGGTGCGAGACATTTGCAGCTTCAGCAACCTTAAACGGCAATGCAAAGAGTTTGAAGAGGATATTAAAATGAAAAAAGTATAAATTTGAGATTAAAAAAAAAGTTGAAAACCATAACTTCAAAAGGAGCTCTACGCTGGTTATCATCACGTAAGCACTTATTCAGATATCTTCTGTACCTCTGCACTGTCAAAAAATGAGCTGGTCATATTCAAGCATCGCCGAGCAAGACTTCTGCCCACTGCTATATACGATCGTTTTTCGATAAGTAGTAAACATACCAATGATCAAGTACTTGTCCACACAAACACATCAAGTGTATAAAAAATTCAAATAAACACAAATAGTGGGCTATTTGTCCATACTTGGAATGATACAGAATTGAAGCTGATAACAAGCAAACCTGCGTATGTTTTGTCCATAATAAATTGCAACCTATCGTTACTGTATGCCATGACTGCAATAAAATTTTACAAAGTTTTACATTTTCACCGTGCATAGTGGACTTCCAAAAATGGTAAGTTTTTAGTACTGAATTAATGTAGTTCATGACGTCAAGTTGTATGCAGTGAAAACCGCTCAAACGGCACCGATTCCGGTTTCAATGCTACCTCGAAAAATTCAAGCAGATTGCAGATAACAGCTAGCAAAAGTAAATATTGAAAAATAGTACTTAACACGTTTCGGACCGCGAAATCGCGCGCGGCGAAAAAGAGGGCACTTTCAGCCGTTAGCCAACAAAGGGGCCTTAATTCGAAGACTGCGTGCTACTTCTATAATCAACATGTCATATAAGATCCATACCCAAAGTTGTGAGCGAATTCGAAGTGTTTGAATTTTGTCGCCTGAGAAGGACTACTATGCTTTTTTGGAAGACAGAAACAAGAACTCAGTTTCTAATTGTACCCAAAAGTATCTATGTTATACATCATACACATCACTATCGAAACTACGGTTTTTCTCCTTGAATTCGAAGCAAAGGAAAGTTGCGACGTCGCACGCGTCGTTCGCGTTGCCGCACTTCGTTGCAACTGTTGTTCGATTTGTGCTCATATCTCCTAAACAAATATCGGCGGCATGACTCTACAAAGTCATTTGAAAAGCAGAGGCTTAGGCCTTTGACTTGATAGTCTTGGACTTAAAGAAAACCTTCTTTAAACGTTAGAAAAGTCTCTCAAAGGCGCGTGCTGCACCATGTGCAGCACCGGTCCGAAAGGTGTTAATTCTGACCACCGCAAACTCCTTCATAAGTGAAATTTGGTGCTATGCAGTGTTCACTGCATATTCGAATAAATACTCAACAATTGAAGGTGATTTATCAGTAAGCCTTTTAGTCCCAATAATTGAAATGTTATCATACGGTAATCTTCCTTTCGGCTTTGTATGCAGATTTTCCTTTATGCTACAATTTTCAAAAGACTTCGAAAGTTATTGTTAGTTTCGCAATGTAACAGCAAGCTGAAGCCAGGTGATATAAAGATGTATAGCTTAGGCTTGGAGATTTTTGCTCACTCAGATAAATTCAAGTAAACTAACAAATTGCGTCCAATATGCAAGAATCGGGAACTGATATAATTTCAATTAGCAGATCCGAAAATGAAAAGACAGTGGACGCTAACTTTGAAGGCACCAATTACCTGCGTTCAGCATTTTACAAGTTGCTGTCTTTTTTTCAACCAGTAATAGGAATACCTTCCTCTCCACACTTAATTGTATCGCCACGAGTAAATTCAACAATTTTGGGCTGCAGAACTAAAGTGAAGTTTTGGCTCGATATTTAGCAAACTTTGCCGGAACTCATGGAGTAAAACTTGATCAAAGTAAACACAATGATACGCTGATAAGCAGAGGTCCGTTTGTCTGCGCTCAAGATAAAACAGCCAGCCTTTCCATTCTTTTGTGCAATAAAGCAATGTCATAGCTCCAAATTTACTTCCAAAAACTTCAACGTTTTGTTGATAGAGAAGAATTGAAAAGCCAATGCCGCATTCACTTATAGTAAAAAGAGGAGCTTCGAAAGCAACTTGAGACTTTACGCTGCTTCAATTTTTCCATACGTTTCACTTAGCTGAGTTCTATCTGAAGATAGCCAATCGCCGGAAATGCTTTGGATTTTTTTTCACACCGTAACAAGAGTTCTTCAGTATGCTTTGATAAAAAGAACACTTTTTTCTCCCGTTTTAGTGGAGGAATTCACAGTTCATATCTCAACTCATTTTGTTACACCCCGCATGCATATGGGTTTTGAAGTTTCGTATCAAAAATATTCAGGATGGTGATCTTACTGGTTTCGTTGATTTTTCCTTTGGTAGCTGCCGGACCAGTTGCTATAGGAGCGCAGTTACCACAAGAGCTGGTAAGTAAGATCAGGAGAAGCAGTATTCTCAAGTGATTTTTATTTTACTTACATCGTATGCTCCAGGCTACAAATTACGCCTACGCTTTGGATCTCTCGGCGCAGCTCACACTGTCCGGTGCTCAGTGCTTAAACTCCAATGGGTATTCGACGGTTTTCATACGGTAATTTTTCTTTTAACTTTTGTAAATCGACACAACAAATTTTTTAGAGCTTACTCACCATCAGGTAGCGGCACCTTTGACAGCAATGCCTGTTCGAATATCAATTACGCCCATACTGGTGAGAGTTTGAGAATTTTGGTGTGATTCTTGCTGTAAAAAAGCTCCTTTCAAAGCTGGACTCGGCACCGAACTCTATATGACTCCCGTACCAAAATCTACGAAGAACGCCACCCAGCAAGTGGATGAGTTATACAACGGTTTGAAGAATTGCAACATTGTTGCACGAAGCATTTGGGTTCAGGTATGTGCCAGTTGAACGAAACCTCTACACTTGTTTGTTTAGATAACGTCCCCAGTCAACTGGAACTCCAATCCGACAGTAAACGTCAATTTTATCAACGGTATCAACGCCAGGGCAGCCGTAAGCAATTTTGATCGAACAATACGAAAAACTTCTAAATTTGTTAGCAACTCGGCGCCAGAGTTGGATACTATACGAATCAGTACGATTGGAATCAGATTACTGGAGGAGCTAGCGGGATGGCCAATGGAATTGGATTATGGTCGGTGTTTAAAGAATCTAGTTTCATTTCAGTGTTTAACTTACAGGTACTGGAACGTAAATGGTGCGGGAACAAGTGGAGAGACCGGTGCCAATTTCAACGATTTCGTTCCATTTGCTTACTGGAGTTCCGCAACTGTGAAACAATTTGGTCAAATGGAAAATGTCTGTGGTTACACAGTGAACAGGTGGAAAAATGGGGACTTTTTATGAATACCCAACAAACTGAAATCATACAGGGATGTCTACACGACCTCGGCATTTATGGCCGCCGCACCTCGAAAGGAGTCAGGACAGCCTGTTGTTGGAAATATTGGGTTCAACTAAGTTTTGCAGTGCTCAAACAATTTTCAATAAACCTTTATCTTCACTTTCTACTGGGGTAACCGGCTTCGCTTTCACCCTGTCAACATAATTTGATAAAACACTTTCCTCTCCTAAATCTAATTTCCCTGTCCCTCTCTCACTTCTATATGCCAGCTTCCTGCTCTCCGTGTCTTTTAATCAGTATGTCCACTACTCTCGGGGAAAACTCCTATCCCCGTAGCTTAAATTGTGCAAAAAATTTACAAAATTGCTAATTCATAACCAAAAATAGCATGTGGTACCTATCCCGCCTCGCAGTGTATGTGAGCAAAGTTCGGTCTAGATGCTCAAAAATGGAATTTTTTATGCGAAATGTACGTACACACATACATACAACGGACAAACAGGCAAACATTCAACTTTGAATGTAAGAAGAATAATCTATCTAGTATCACACTAAGAGGATGATTATTTCTACTGACATTTGACAAAGAAGAATAGTTTCAGCATTGTGTCGTGCAGCTTGGCATAGGTACCTCGCGCACACCTAACGCGGACTCACATTGTTGTGTTTGTCTCATTGTCTTTCTTGTCAAGCTTGATTTCGTAGTTTTCTCAAAGCATTTTCCTATTTCCATTCTCCATTTTCCTTTCTCCTACCAGTCTCGTAAACTTGGACTAGACACTATGTGTATATTCTATATGAACGACGCAAAATCTGAGGTACTCCTTTGTCGTAGATGATTCTTGTCCATTTTCAATCCAGTCAGGTTTATATACACTTTGTTGTGCAAAATAATTCGTCGGCTGAGGATGTTATACTAATGAAAACCCGGCATTTACCTGACTAGGATCAAAAAAGTCCCATTAAAAATATTATGATGATAAAAGACTTCTAGTATTCACAGGCTTTGGAGGCGGTGTCCGGCAAATGTGAGAATAAGATGGTGGCAACGTTTGATAGCGTCCAAACAAGCAATACTTTGCGCAAGTCCCATCTCAAACCCTTCGCTTTCGAATCAAAATAATCGCCTCCAAAGCTGTCGCACGGCTGCCTTATCTAACGAATTCACACTGCGTAGAGTGCGCGTACCCCACACAGTTACGGCTATAGGATTCATAACGACTATGGCCTCAATCTTGGCGGGCTCCACGTCCCTACGTTCATAATCAAAATCAAGGGCTTTGGGAAAAGTCCATTTAAGACACTTTCACGCTCCTAAACGGTATTTTGGGGGTGAGTGGGCCTAAGAAGCGGAAAAGGCTTCAGTTAATTTTGCAGGGTTTCTGCCTTCAGTTCCAGAGCGCATGTTCCTAAACGAAAAAATATTTCTAAGGTAGTTACCAATAAACAACCAAAAGGATCTTCTTCATTATATGCATCCCCAAAAACTCTGAAAGACGATATTCAGGTGAAGTAACAAAGCCTGCAATAAGATTGGATCAAATCCCATGTTTTGTAGCCGCTGCAACTTTTATGAAGCGTATCATTGTATTAGGTCGTCCGCAAATTAATGTCCGTTTTGAATTTCAACCGCTAAAGTGCGGTTCATAATTATATGAACACCCAAAATTTTGTAAGTTTTCGGACTTTTTGAGAGAAACTCAAAAAGCCGTTGGTACCACGCGATAGAACACAGCCGAAAACGGTACATGATTCATAAGAATGGAAATCGATGTTAACTGTAGGAGTGTTTCTGCGCTTAATGCGAATTTTTAGCGGTTCATAATTATACGAACACCTCAAACAAAGGTCCATTTTTCATTCAAGATTGCAATCAATTGAGTCCAAATTTTTTGTAGAGTTACAGTAACAATGTCTGACATATCTGCTACACACTGAACCCAGTGCAGTTCAAAAAGAGGACCGTTACTTCTTTCAGAAGGCTCTAAATGCTTTTGAAGTGATTGCGCTCCAAAAACATCCATTCTTCTGTGGTTTACGCGCTCTAATTAGCTTCTACCAAAGCTATGAGATAAAACAAGCTCTTTCGATGTGTATTTTGTTTGACGCTTGGGAAATCTTTGCGTTTTCGTGCCGTTTTTCAACCAAGTTCTAACCTTACCACAGAATTAGTACTTTTTCGAGCCTCAAAACTCAGCTTCTCTCTTGCGCAAACATTTGATATGAAGCAGCTGCATTGCTTGCATGATGATGTTTCTGTGCCAAAGTTTTTGGGTTTTTTCTAGAACTGATCCTGCGACTGTGGAGCTACAAACCAAATAAAGGTGTGATTGCAATAGTAAAAACAGTATTTCTGGTAAAATGACGTCTGCGTGAACAAAACAAACGCTCAACGCTGCTGATTTTTTCTAGCCAAATTTAAGGTCTTGTGAACTTTTACATACTATATGCTTACTTCATTGTACGGCTTCAGAAGCTGAGTTTTGAGGCTTGAAATTGTGCTAACTCTGTGGTAAGGTTGGAACTTGGTTGAAAAACGGCACAAAAACGCAAAGATTTTCCAAGCGTCAAACAAAATACCTATCGAAAGAGCTTATTTTATCTCATAGCTCTGGTAGAAGAGAGCGCGCTAACCACAGAAGAATGGATGTTTTTGGAGCGGAGTCACTCCAAAAGCATTTAGCCCCTTTTGCAAAAAGTAACGGTCCTCTTTTTGAACTGCACTGGGTTTAGTGCATAGCAGATATGTCAGACTTTGTTACTGTAACTCTACAAAAAATTTGGACCAAATGATTGCAATCTTGAATGAAAAATGGACCTTTGTTTGAGGTGTTCGTATAATTATGAACCGCTGAAAATTCGCATTAGGCGCAAAAACACTCCTACAGTTAGCATCGATTTCCATTCTTATGAATCACATACCGTTTTCGGCTGTGTTCTATTGCGTGGTACCAATGGCTTTTTGAGTTTCTCCCAAAAAGTCCAAAAGCTTACAAAATTTTGGGTGTTCGTATAATTATGAACCGCACTTTATAAGTCATACACTTTTCACTTTTAAGTAGGCTTCAAAGTACCATTTGATAAAGCAAAGCAAGGACGGCGATCTCTCTTTAGCAACAACTCTAATCCACCTCGAGTTTTGAGCTAAAAGTTAAAATGATTAACTGCCCGAAAAATCGAGAAAAATTATAACTCAGTTCATAAGAGACCTAGAAAAGTTCTAACTTACTCACGTAAACACTATCCACATAAGACATCTACATATGTACGCCGTTGCCGTATTTTTTCCGTTGTTAGAAATCAAAAAAACGGAAATTTTCATGCTTTTGTTAAAGCGATGCTGTGCCTTTCCCACATAAGTAGATGTATGCTACAAATCTGTAGAAGTACAAACGTGGACTTTCAGCTCTCTACAAGCCTTAGTTCTCGAGAAATATCGTTATGTTTCATTAGTCAGGTGGTCCAAGCTAAAATTCAAATTTCTCGAGAACTAGAGCTTGTAAAGAGCTGAAAGTCCACATTTGTACTTCTACGGATTTGTAGCATACATCTACTTATGTGGGGACGGCACAGCATCACTTTGGCAAAAGCATGAAAATTTCGTTTTTTTGATTTCTAACAAAGATAAAAATACGGCAATGGCGTACATAGATGTCTTATGTGGATAGTTTTTACATGAGCAATAGAATTTTTCTAGGTCTCTTATGAATTGAGTATGATTTTTCTCGTTTTTTCGGGCGGTTGAATCATTTTAGTTTTTGGCTCGAAACTCGAGGCGGATCAGAGCTGTTGCCTAACCGAGACCGCCATCTTGTAGAGCTTGCTTTGCTCTATCGAACGGTTCTTCAAAGCCTAATCAAGAATGAAAAGTCTATGACTTATCGCGGTTGAAATTCAAAACGGACATTAATTCTGGACAACCTAATAGAGGTAAGATATCGTCATGGGAGTTTCTGACAGGAAATCATAATCAAAAAGTAGTCTGAGCCGGTCCGGCGCCTCGTTGCGACGACGGTGAGCTATAGATCACTGTAGAGACAGAAGATTGCAGAGTAGAGCTACATAGCATGTTTTCGGCAATCCACTTGCGATATGGCTGAATGAAGTACAGAGATGCCAGAGGTGTTAATGTGGGAATAAAATGAGCCATAACCAGTGAAAAATATTCGAGAACTGGATGATAAATGATATCAAGCTGGCCCAGTGAGTACATCACGACGGCGAAGGAGTAAAACGCGGGAATGATTGCTTGGCATGTGATGGCCTAAAATGTAGTAGATTGTAAACCAGTTGTTAAGGATTGTCTGATTGTTACCTTCAACAGTTGATTCTGCAAATGTTTCGTACTCTTCGACATTGTATTAAAAGCACACAATTTCTTCACAATTCTTTTTCTTAGCACCAAAATTATAATATAGGCTGGCGTGATTGTACAGGTCACATGCAGTGATGGAATCATTAGTGTCCGACTAGATATGTTGGCTGTACCGCTGACGCATTCCATGCTCGTGTCGTAGCCAAAGACTTCCGTAATTCGTCGTTTAACGACTGCATCGGAATCGCTAGAAAGGTTGAATATCGCCTTAACAAGGATGTTGCCAGCTGCACATTTGGAACGGTAGAAGAAACCTATAAACTGTAAAAAACATGGAACATAGAGGAGAAGTAAGCATTTTGCAACATTTTGAATTTTTGGTGGTGGTCGCAAAAGAATATAATAGCGATAACAAAATGAAAATACCAAAATATACAAGCCGTAGGCGTAGCAGTGCATAAGAAAGCTGAATCTGGAATTCTATAATGTTTGAAAGTATGTATTTAATCAATAAAACGAATGCTACTCTCACCCGACATAGCAAGCGAATGGTCCAATATGCCGACAGAGACCATGTGAAAAATAAAATATACCACCACCGCCAGGAATCATCCTAAACATTGATTAGTAGTAGTACACAATGTTGTTGGCAGAAAATGTGCAGTTTCCAGGGCCCACACAAGAGCTTGCGATCCTTTCCTGGTGAAATATATTTGATAGAAAAATATCAAACCTGTTCAAGAGAAAGATGTCATCAACACAGATGAGAAAATCACAAAAGGCACAGTTCAGTATAAGCAT